CTGCACCTAAGTACATAGTTTTTTTTATAAAAACACACAGGTATCTCCCCAAACATTTACCAAATAAAAAGGGTTTAACAAAAATGCATAATTAATCTCATAAAATAAATTACAGTAGCATGACAACATTTGGCTTCTCTAGTGTGACCACGTGCTTCTCCTTTGTCATCTCGTTTTTAAGACCATTACAGATCCAGTTTGTGTCTCCGAAAGTTAATGAGATGTCTGTGACAAACATACGAAACTCTGCTTGCTACAAGCAAATGTCTGGTAACAGTTTCACCTGGTCACAGATTATATGTAGATAGCCTTTCTGGCCCCAAATAAATATTATATAGTATTCTTGCAAGTTCCAGCATAATTAAACTCAAACAGAAAACTCAGGTCCTCCTTTCTTTGCTCTTAGTAGAAGCCGCCTGATTCGAAATCCTGCAAAAGGATTGATCCACAGGAGCGAAGGCTGGCCCCCGAAAACAGATTTCATTCCTTCCCAACGTAGTCTCCTCTCCCATGTTGGCTTTTCACTCTTCAGTCTTTCAATCTCCTGCAAAGAAACAGACATGCAGTGAAACACTGAAGTCTACAGTCTAGTAAAGTGTAATAGCAATTATCAACAGTTATGGCTATTTGGCATTCTTTTAATGTATAGCTAGTGAGTAGATTAGTTTCTTATTGTTATTTATTTAGCAAGGAAGAAATAAGAACGCCTGATTCAACCCTGCAGGTACAGAGTAGAAGACTTGGAACATACAACGAATACGAAACAGGTTGGTCCCGTTCCCCCCCACCCCCCCCACACATACCCCAAACTGAACGAAAATGACGAAAGGTTGATATGAAAGCTAGAAGATCAGCATACAATATACCTATGCTAAAAGATGTTTACTCAGTTTATGAAACCAGGCAATAAAGCTTCCAGGAAGGTTCTTTTACTGCAATTATTGAAGCTTGCTTTCCCAAGTGCATTATTCTGATGATCATTTTCTCTACTGACTTCCCACTAATGAAGGCTGGATATTAACCAATTGTTTTTCAACTGAGTAACACAAAGTTCTTCAATACAGAAGCACACTATTAAACGGCATCAGATGAGAAGATTCTGAACAGTCGCATTATTCAAATTCCTTATGTTTCCAGTCAATTATCCAGCACAAAGAACATCCTTTCAAGGCTTAACACTGCAGAGAGGGGCAGGCAAGAGAGGCAAATGTCCAAATTATGGTTATATTCTACTAAATACAGCAAAGCAGAAGAACAGCAGGAAGGGCTGATAGCTGGTTTAAGCATACATCTGAGGAAAGCAGCCATTTCTTATAACACACATTCAGAATGTGACTGTTTAGAACTGCAAGTCCAAAATAAAGTCAGAAATTGTGCAACCTGTTTAGCTGACTACCTAACTATAAATTTTATGTCAGAAAAGCAGATAACGCAGCAATCTCCAGCATAAGAGTCCCCCTCATGCAAATAAAACTACATCTAATCACATCTTTCGAGCAGAATTGTCAAAGCATATGAAAATAGCGGTCTTTTACCGTTTCATCATTGCATATTGAGTGGATTTGGGTGCCAAACATGACTGCAGTGAAAGTGAGAAACAGAAAACCCTCAAGGCACAAGAAGATCATCAGGATCACAGTTACAGGTGGGGAGAAGTCACTGCATTCTGTGAAAAGGATAAGTGTACTCATTAAAAACCCCAAAATCTGAAGAGCAAGTCCAGAGTAGTATATCCCCTCTTCAACAAACAGCAATAAAATCTAAATAGTTTTGGCACTTAAAACAGTATTTCACAGTTGCATCAGACTTTACTCTCTATCACTGTAGCAGCTTTGCTTGCTATACAAGGAAATAAAAGAATTTTAAGAAAGTTACACTTCTGGCTTCCTATACAGCATACAGTACTGCATCACTGCACTCCTGCCTCAATACATCAAGGCTAAAGCAAACAAGATAGCAAATAAATGTTTGCACATGAGACTTTTTAAAACAGTACTCAGAACTGCACATACACAAAGATGACAGCAGCTTGACGTTTCATGCATGACAAAGGTTGTAAAAACCATCACCACTGTCAGCTCTGACTTGCTAATTAATTCAGATTTTCCAACTTGCTGCAATTTCTTTTTTTTTTCCTCCAGCATCACACAAAGCAGTAAGCTTGTGACTTGCACTCAGTTACATCTCTGGAGATCCTCTGATCAATTAATTAACTCTGTTAATCAGTTAAGCAAAGAAGAAGTGGGACTGTATAAAACAAGTGGAATTTTTCAGGTTAAAAAAAGCTACTAGGCTACCACCCATTTAATAGACTATTCAGTGAAAGTGGTCCTATGGATTCTCTTGCTGCTTTAGGTACTGGGAAGAACACACGATCAACCATCTTCTCTCAAAGGCACAAGATCAGAGTCAGCCCTGGTGCACTGGTCCATCAGGGAACGCAAGTCAGAGCCCTAAACAAACCGCTAAGGCAGTTTAGGAAATTTCTTTTCTACAGGAGCCCCACAGTTGACTCCTGTAACAGAATCAGGGAGGAAACAAGCTTAAGTTTCAGCTGTTCACAGCTCTGTGGTGTGACACACAACCCAGCTGGTAGCTTCAGCTAATACGCTGCTGAGATGGTTGAGGCCCAGGTACCCATTTCTTCCTATCCTATTACAGAGGTGATAAATTTTCTCTGTATGGGAAGCGAGTGACAACCACAGCGCTTACAGTGAATGATTAGGAGAAGAGAAAGAGAGAGAGAGAGACGGAAGATTTTACAACACTTAAAAACACAACTCATCTAAGCTAGCTGGACTGATTGGCAAACAGGTACAGAAAGATTTTCAAGACCTCACTTTAAAAAGAGCAAAGTCCAGTATTTCTTACATGGGGTCCAAAAAAGTGGAACGCCCTGACTTTCCTTTAATGTCTGCTTGATTATGCCAGTGAAAGTTAAGTATGTGCTTACCAGTCCACTGCCCTCGGACACAGGAGAAAAACTGAAACCCACACAGTATGAGCGCATGAGCTGAAATTAGGGCTATATACATCTGGAAATAAGAGAGAGTGCTTACTTTTGACCGTTGCCAGGCAGTACACCAGACATTCCTTACAGCCAGCCTTCACCACTGTACAGCGAATGTATTTTCCTATTTCCATTTTTAATTTAATACAACGATGTAAAAATAAATTCTAATCACCTTTTTAGATTCAAACTTGGGCAACTATGCAAGTGTAAAGATTAGCTCCCTAAATCACACCATAATTTCACCAACGGTTACCAGAACACAGTAAAGTTAGGTGAATTAAGATAACAGCCCTTTACAAAACACTGATTAATACGGGTATGTTGGTAGAATACGGGTAGAAATATCTTCCTGCACGGAGAATATCTTGGGTAGAATGAGGGGAGGGAGGGAGGAAGCGGTTGTGACCATAAGCCATTACTCACTAATAAACATGACCAAAATTGCTGTAATCAAGGTAGACTCATACTAGGATCAAGCTGCTGTTGATTTGCACTTACCGTAAACAGAACGAAAAATCTCTGATTTTTCTCCCCCACGCAATTATTCACCCATGGGCAGTGGTGATCCATCTTTCGAATACATCGCTTGCAAATACTAAAGATAAGGAAAAGAGAGACTTTCGTAGCAAAATAATACTGCACACGTTTTAATGTAAAAATGAGAATACCCAGTAGCCAAAAGCTAATGTTCATCATGAAAAGAGCTGATTCCTGCACTGTACAACAGTGACTTTACTAACATTGTATTTGCACTTCTTTAAAGAAGTCATTTACGAACTTACGTCCCAGCTTCTGCCTATTATAAATCTGACCATATAGATAAGACACTCCACAAGAAAGTTAGTACTGACATATTCCTGGAAGAGGATCATTGCATAACTAAACACAGAATTAGGTACATCTAGTAACTTGTTTTAGACGCTTATGGCACTGAATGAGCAGAAGCTCATGAAAGATTATAAAAATAAGAACTTCCCTTTTGGAGAAATTTTTTTTTTAAGACAAAGTAATTATTTCATGTTTACAAACTTTCAAGGCAAACTTAGTTTACAAGTCAGAAAAAGTAGTCTTATCAAGAGTGAAATATTCACTCTTGAGGCAGTTTTAACTAGCCATACATCTCTCAATGTTCTGAACATGTGCAATCAAAATCTCAATCAGAGAATAGCTTACAATGCCACACCTCACTTCCTCAAAATAAAACAAACCAAAAGAAAAAAAAGTCTAACTATAAGCAGCGCAAACTCTTTGCCTGCTTGTTAGTGAATGCTGTTAAACATTACTGTTCTTTGCTTGTTCTAAACTAAAGGCTTCGTTTCTGCATAGGTTTTAGTCAAGCTAATTGCCAGAAAGAAAAGGCAAATATTTCAGTAACTCTTTTTTACAGTTGCTAGGCCGTGCAGCCCTGGAAGGCTCATTTCTCTTGTATTCATGTCCATCTGCAGCCAAACAAGAACAGTTATACAAGAGGAACAGAGCAGTTGCAACGTGTTGTGTTGAATAGGTCAAATGATGCTTATATTTCATTTTGCTAGTTTTGCACTCAAAGTAGCCACACACAAAGCGTTTCAAACTTTCCCGCAGAATATCCAAACGGCTAAGCATTTTCATTTCAGCAGATACAGAGCCAAATCAGCCTCACATATTTAGGTACTATTATTCAAAATCCTTTAATGTATGCTTATTTATATATGATTCCTGGGGGGTTCAATGACAAGGCATGAAGCAAAACTGTCTCTAGAGTTAAGAAAGGTGGGGAGAAAAAAAAAAATCAGTTCTTAAAAACTACGTTATGCCTAGAAGCAGCTATATATGCATGCTGCAATTCAGCAAGAAGCAGAACATACTCCTGTATGGGTAGCGTGAGAGGAACCCAGACCTCCCACAGCTCCTTAGAAGCTTCCGTTGTCCTGAGCTATCACAACCCAGTCTCTATATTCCCACTGCTTCTTATGTTGTGGATATTAAGGATGACTCATCTTCTGAGGCAAATTACTTTTTAAATAGCACCAGTTACATGTAAAAAACATAATACCACCATGACCAAACACTGTAACCATTCTCTAGTGCAGATGAGACAAGCACGATTCAAGACAAGGTGTTCAGAAGACTCTTCAAAAAACACTTTTTCCCTTCTTGGCTTGCCAAGAAGTTCAGCCTCTCACTGACTTTTGAGCTCTGTGGGAAAGGTGGGTTAACTATAGTCACCATATTCATGCCTCTTAATGTAACACGGTATTCATACTGTCACTCCATAAAGAAAACCGAAGCAAGTACTGAGTCAAATCAGATTCAATCAAGCCAAACACCGAAGGGCGTGAGGTGGGCAGGACACACTTTTCCTCAATCGTTTTTCTCTCGCAAGCCCACTGGGAGCTCTCCAAGCCATGAGCTGCCTGGAACCCTGCCTTTTCCATTTCTAATCCAACACCACGCTTCCACGAACCCTTCCAGCCAGCAATCTGGCAACGATGCTGAAAAAGCAGCGCTGCCTTCTCCGTACCCCAGCCACTCGTGTTCTCTTCCCTCCCTTGTCCCTGCAGCACAGATGCTTGTGCAAGAACAGTTTCGGGAAATCAGGCCATTAGCTGGAGCCTGGGTCATTTCCCGGTGCAGTTACATGAACGCGCCCACCTACACAAGAGGCAGGAGCAGGATGGCAAGTGAGCGTGAGCAGCTGTGCGCAAAGCAAGGACTTCTCCAACGTGGGGCTGCTGCTGCTGCTGCTGCTGAATATATCCAGGGAACTAAAGGTGCAGCTTCACCTCCGAATGCCAAAGCTGATGTTCCAAAAGACACAGCTAATGGCCTAAGTACTATATTTCAAAGACAATTAAAAAAAAAGAAAACAATTGAGAAATTGGTTTGGAGAACAGCATTCACAGGCAGACCAACGAGAACATCTCAGTGACGTGATTCTTCACAACAGTTCTCATATACAAACACAGCAACTCCAGATCGGTTAGAAATAACAGCAGTTCGTGAAAATGATATAACATTCACTTAAGATAAGTCTCCTCCTTGTTTTGAAAACGTTAACTTCGCAGGAAAAACTGAATTTAATGTATTTCTCTGAAGCCAGATATCTTAGCTGTAAATAAAGATTTCTTGTTGTTTTTTCCCACCACTAACGTGCATTATAAAACTACTTTTCTTCCTCAAAAGAACTTCTTTTGCAGTGTTGCACAACAATTTTCATAATCGCATCATAAGAGCCTCTTCTGTTAATAATTTACTACTCAAAACATGCACTGTGGCTTTGAGTGCAACTATTTCACAACAGGAACCAACTTCAGTTTTCATTTTCAAGCCTATTCTATCAGCAAATTGCCACTTTGACTGCTTGGGACTAGACCATCCTCTTAATGCTCTTGGAATGGCTTTGTAAGCCACTAAAAAGCTGGCAGCATAATCGAATAAACATTTCTTCTCTTCGGTACACTTCTGCAATGCCAAATCTATGGCAAAGAATCAGATGCTGGCAGCTGATTTCCAGTCCATTTCCTGTCCATGCAGGTAAATTCAAGAGTCAACATTCAAAAAATTACAAAGAAACCATCCTTTGTTTTACACAAGGAAAGTTAAGCGCAGCTAGTAGCAGCATATATGGTATGAGTAACAGTTACAAAAAAAGGCCATTAAGCCAGATAGCCTACTGCCAAGAACATCATGGGAGCAGGCTGCAAAAGGCTAGGCACACACACTTCCAGACTTACCATTTAGGTATCTTGCGAAGCCAGTTACGTGCTGTCTTAAGCATCAGAATGTATCTCTGTCACCTATGTGGAACTTGGCCGTTCATTTTAATCAAGGCATAGAAGAGTATTTACCTACCAAGTCAGATCCCTAAACCCTGGGATAGCGACAAACAAACCCTCTGAAAGCATTGCAGATTTCCTTCATTGCAGACACTACCCTTCTTGTTCTGCTTTAACAAGGGAAGTCTCGTGATCTCTTGCTATAAACAGCATATTTGAAGTTCCTAACTAGATGATCCCTCCTCCCTGAAGAAATAATAACTTTCTGATGAACGCTGCCCTATCTGGGATCACAGGCTGCTGGAACATCCTAGATAACACAGTACCTGCTGGGGATGACGTCCCAGATGTACACAGGTAACTCTGCAAGGCCTGCCTGAAGCCTAGGCTGTTGTCAGCTCCAGGTCTAAGGGGTAAACCCTGCCTACACAGAGCTGCACAGTTGCAGGAGCTCCAGGCTCTCCAGTACTCCACCTTCTTTGCTCAGATGCAGACCTCAACATAAGATGTCTTTATTTCAGATGTGGGAAACGCTTTGGAAAGATACCTGCAAAGTCTCTGCAGGAGCCAGCCTGAATCTGAGATGAGAAAACTAGCAAGATCCAACCCGCACAGAGCAGAGCCTCTGGGGTGTCCTTTCCCCATATCCCACGCGCACAGTGCCAAGGCTGCACCAAGCTGTCTTGAATCCCCAGAGTGTAACAGCTTATATTCTGCCACAAGAAAGCTGCTGTATCGCTCCACACCTGAGCCTGCCCTGCAAGCACACCATGGTCACACAGCCTGCTCTGAACTACCAAAGCCAGCCAGAACCACGCTTGCTGCACATAAAGCCAGACCTGCTATCTGCATTTGTGCAACAGCTAATCTACGACCCAGATAAACTAGCTGAAGATAATTCTATACTTGACTATCTATATATGGAACTTTTCCCTTCACACTCCAGATACAAAACCCACTCACATCTCAGATAAAAACAAGACTTCAGCCCCAAGGCAGAGTAATTGTAATGGAAATAACTCAGTCATAATTTTCACACAGATTAGTGACAAACACCAAGACATTTAATTTAGAAACCACAAATTTGCAGAACGGTTTCAGAGTCCTGACAAAACCTCCACTCTTCTTTTAAGGGGCACCAACTCAGAGGCTTACAATTTAATATTGCCATGCATCTCAATGCATATCACTCCTCACACCTAGAAAGAGCCACCAGAATCATTAACATATTTATGTAAGTTCTAATTATACAGGCATATCTATCTTCAATTATCACATAATAAACATGACAAACGCATCCACAGTGTCTGAAAACTCAAAAGGCCGAGAACTAATTAAAGAAAGGATAGATTCGCTACCTTTTACATAACATGCTAAGTTCAAATTAACATTACTTCTTTCCTTACTAAAATGAATCATCAGTAAACAGAGGTGCATTTAACTGATTACGCATACAGCTTGGGAAAAATAAGCAACCAATTCACACACCATTTCCAATGAAATCTGATGAAGACAGGAAGACTACAAACTAAAGTGGTAATTTAAAATACATCTCTACTTTCTAAATTTAAGATTGCAGAAGTCATTTCTTACACTGGCTTCTGTCAGAAAGTTCCTTGAGATTTTTCCCTTTGCCCTGCATTATCAGAAGTGAGGCACACTAATTAGAATGATGCACCGGAAAAGGTCACAGATCAAAAAAGAATTACCACACCAGAATAAGATTATTTTAAAAACTCTTGACTCTCTTGCTTCTTTCCCCGACCTACATTCATTTTTGGCTGTAGTATATTACATATACAAACTATCCTGCAATACATGAACTTGAAAGTTTATTGGATACAGTAAGAAAGTGGTTGAAAAAAATTTAACACACAAATATCAGGAACATTACTCCAAGATTCAATACACACAATTGCTTTAAAGACGATTACGGCGTACCTGCAATGGTGTGCACGTTCAGGTTTGATACTACAGCACTTTGGACATTTGTAGATCACTTCTCCTGGTTTCAGTTGCAAATTATCCATGTATTCCTTAGTGGCATTTCCTTTGGGCACAGCCCCCTGAAATCATTTCAGTTAAAAGACAGAAAGCTTTTTAAACGATATGAGAGTGTTTAAAAGCACATAATCGCAGTATAATTGCTGAAATAAGTTAATTTACTTAAAGCTAGTCTGCCATAAGCCAGAACCACCAGGTGAATAAATTACCTCTGGCTGATCTCAAATTGTTTCACTTCAGCAAGACTCATCTATGGCCAAGTATTAACATAATTCTGATAGGACCTGCAGTCACCAGCATACATAAAACAAAGGAATACACATCTTCACATGCAGATGTGAGCACTATGGGTAGAATATTTGCTTACAGGTTACTCTGAGCAAGCACTGCTGACAGAGACATGCTTTCTTTACAGTGGCATACATTAACTGTTAGGTCAAACCATCCACAAAAGTTAATTCAGCAGAGTAAACTACTTGAAGGATGTTTATTTTGAACTCTCCGAATCCAAGATTTAGCCCCTGCTACGTACACAACTTTTCTACAATCGTGAGTCACCCGTTTTTCCTTTACACTTAAGTTTGTAGCTCAGACACCGTTGGCATGAACAACCACTGCTTTCTCACCATCAGCTTCTTCGTTCTACGCCCAGTGTTCCCTTCTGCTACTGTGCAAGTTTGTATAGCTAGATGTCAGGAAAAAAAGAGGTTATTTTTTAGCTGATTAGTTCTGAGCTGCTCACCACAGAGCTGCACAAACAGCTGTGCTGATATAAGGAGGAAGGTGATGAAAGGACAGGAATAAGCAGGATTGCTTCTTCCAATAGCAATATTAATCTATAGCCTTGCAAGATCAGAATCTAACTTTGGATGGTAAGAAGAAAATAATGGAAACTACCATTGTCACTCTGTCTGTTTATATAGCTAAAGGCTTGTTTGCGACAGCAAGTCATTGTGAAATAAACTGGGATGCAAAATGACAGTGCAATGGCCTTTCTGTACTAACTCCTGCAGGAGTCGGTATTATTTCACACAGGAATATCTTTCGCCAGGTTGGCTCAAGTCATCTGCAACATTCTGTAATTACTTCTTGACGAATAAAAGCCAATGGCAACATCCTCACGTTACACAGACACCTTAAGGAAGTTTTCGGGACAGAATTAACTAACCGGCAGACATTTCACATTTAATTGCAAAACACCTCTTTACCTAAGCGGAAAGTTTTTGTTGCCTACGGCCTGGAATAACAACCTGGGATTCGTGTTGCCTGAGACACAGTCCAAGTTTTGCCCCAGATGAACTCTTGTGCACCAAAACAAAGCTCTCTGGCTAAGCAGTGCTTCAAACTTGAGCCAGCTGGCCTGTGAATAGGTACAGGCTCAAAGAGTGCTTCTCAAACACTCACGCTGCACCGCTGGAGTGTTTTCTGCAGTATGAGTGTTCTCATTTAAGTCAGGAAACTGCTTTAGTGTAGGCATCACGAACTACCTCAAAGACAGAGAGAACTCCTATGAGCACAAATTTATCCAGTTCCAGATAAATTTATGCTTATACAACACAACTCATGAATTCACCTATTCACCTGTCACTAAGGAATAGGTCCACGCCTTCAGGCCATGCCTTTACCATTTTGCTGATAAAAATATGCTTTATTAAACATTTAGGGAAATAATCTCACACTACTGCCAATTCCTTTCAATGGACAATCTGTTTTTATACTTATGATAGCATGTTATAATTCATGTGCTTTGAGGCACTTTATTCCTTTTACCTTCAATCTTTATAACACATAGTCTTGCCTTCCATTCAGGGAGTCAGAAGGAGGGGAGCAAAGAAAAAAGGTAGTGATTCATCTCAAATTCATGTTTTTCCATAAACAATCACCTGGGTCTAGAAAGACACACTATTTTACCAGTACATATTTTTAAGCAATCTATCCTTAAACTATTCACTTTCATAACTGTCACGGCCTGCAGAAGTCATAACGTTTCATCACCGGGTGCGGCCTGAGAAGCGAACCAAAGATCTTGCAAACCATTAACTACCGCACCCTGGTGTTTATTCGGAACACTCCCATAACTTTTAGATATACTGTTACTGTCTCAAAAGTAGAGAAAATTGACTTTTTCCTCCTCCCTCTCTCTCCAGATTTCTTCCCTAAAAAAGGGGGATAGATTTTAGTAGAAAATAAACAATTTCATCTCTTGAAGTCTTAAGCAGAAGAAGTAATAGTCCAAAGACATGAGTCCGTTTAAGACCTCTCACATCTACCCTGTTCCAACTGCATGCTAGTTCAGCTTAAGTCTCACTTCCCATTGACTCCATATATGTAAACGCAATAACTTACGATGTAGTCCTTGTTACTTGGTATCACAGTATGTGAATGAGACTTTCCAGCATGTCTACCTCTGAAAATTCTTTCACATTTCATAATATAGAAGACGTATTTCAAATAATACAACAGGATGAAACTACAAATTTTATTAAGCTTTGAAAACGTTACCAGGAAGAGCAGCAAGAAAATACAGGACAGAAAGGACTAACACTTTGGTAGCTTCCTCAGACCCTAGGTTAATATTCAACAAAAACTCTGTTTCTCAGTAGCCTTCCTCTCCCTTATAATTCATTTTACACTGCCTGCTCCTCAAGTGAAAGCTCATTTATGGTTCATTAACAGAACAGGAAAAGCATAGATACAGTCCCTCCAGTTTGAGGGATGTACAACTAATACAACTTGTCCTATCAGGAAGGGACAGGCACCACATCTTCAAATTTCTCTGCAGCTGACTGAGTTACATGACAGAACAATGCAACGTCAAGGAACAACTGCATACTTACTGGATCAGTTAGCATAGTTCTCAGATGAGATGACAAAGCTAGCACTGCCAAGCAGTTAAAGAGAACACCGTTGATCACAGAGTACCAAAAGTCTTTGGAAGGCAGCAACATGACAAAAGTCACTACGAAGTCTGCATAGACAACCAGAAGCCATGTCATTATAGCACAGACCATACCACAGCCATCTCGGATGAACCAAACCCTTTCTGCCATGTCGGCCTCTGAGGAAGAGGAATCGTAGCTGTCATTTTCAGCAAGAAGCGGGTGGTGCTCAACATCACGGAATCTGTGCCCTGATGACTGCATGGTTTTCTGGACTTGCCCTGCAGAAATCAGATATCATTATTATGCATAAAGAAGCCTGAAATACAGCTGCTGTCATTTTAATAAGAGGAAACATAGCCAGGTTCAAAACGAATTAACTTTTTTTGATCAAAAGCTGCTCTATGATTACATAAAGCTGAAATATTTCTGTAACCAAAAGATAACCATTTACAAAGTTTCATCAACAAATCTGTGAACTGTTTACTGAGCATTACGATACCATAACTTCATTTTTGGTCACGCGACTTTAATGTTCGACCAAGAGATTTAGGAGCGGTTTCACTTCCACCTTGCCGATGCCTGTAAATCATTATTCTGCTTTTGTTAAAAAACCAGTCTCCTCCTTTTATCTCAAAATAAAATAGCAAAGCCTTCATTAAATTACAGCTTATGTCTCAGAAACTAGCAAACTACAGCACCAGGCTGCTGTCTTTTCATACTGCTTCAGGAAACCAGTGAACAGCAAAAGAAAAAAAGAATGAGGAAAAAAAAAAAAAAAAAACTGTTCCTGTTAATTGTTCACAAAAAAAAAACAGAGCATGTTAGAAAACAGCTAAATTTGTTGACAAAAGTGCTTTTGTCTTGGAAAAAAGCCCGTTACAAAAATATATTGGACAACTGACAAAACGGTCTCAGATCAGACCAGACTTAAGGGAAGCAAATGGCAGCGGCTAAATTAGCATGGCAATGGATTACACGAATCAGATTTTCAAAGGAAAAAAAATAATTAATTTCATGAAAATCCTTCTAAGGCTTTGTTGTTGTTCCAACGTGGAACAACAACAAGACTTGAAACCTTTATACTTTTCATGAAAACAGAATTATTTTTCAGAGATCTCTAACAAGCAATGATATGGAACGGCAGAACTTGAAGCGCTCTCAACAAATAGGAGACAAATTATAATTTAAGCATTATGCATCAAGAATAGCTTGCTACCTTAGACGTTACTGTGTTTGAAAAATCATATTGATTCATGCTATTAAAGGCCATGCCTTAGAGAAGCTTGAAAGCATTATATTGATTGGTGACAGCAAAGCAGAAGTCTCAGATTTTTTCCTGCATTAACAGTAGCCTCTATACGACTGGTAGGATTTATGACTCTTAAGTTACGTGCCAAGATCTCGAGCATAGCATCATTTTGCTAGGCTAAAATGGTCAAAGTGACCATTACTAAGTAAAGAGACCCACGTGTGAGGTAGCTTTCAGATGAAGTTATGCATTTTTAGATACTTTAAAAACTTCATTTCTAACTGCCAGGAATCAATCCAGATAAACATATTCCAGCTACTCAGTTTTTATGATCCTGCAGTCTTACTGCTAGAATTAAGCAGGAGCAACCCAAGAGATTAGAAATGGAAACAAGTCTATGCAGATTGCAGAGCTATTTTAAAGTTTGTTCTGGGATGAGACACCAGCAGGACGCGGTTAAGTGTGGGCTACATTCTCATGTTTCAAAATAGCAAAATTAACTAAAACTTAGCTCTGGTCACTTACTCTAGTGACTAAGGTAATGCAATGTTACAATTTCTAGTCGTTAGACTGTGTTTGCTTTCTATTCACACATTTTTTTTCTGTTTCTAAACACAAAAGTCTTCTCTCTCATTAGAATGCAGCCATGGATGAAGGTGGTTGCATACTAGAAAAACGCCTTAGAATAAATTTCACCTTCCTCATACACCATTCAAACTTAAGTTAACCTGGATAAGTAACAGTCAACTCTTTTCAGCTACTTAAAGATATCTTTATGAATGTTTATAGTTAATATTACACTGTATACCAACTGACTTCAAAAGCACTCTGGGACATCAATCACTCCTTGCGGTCAAGACTTGTAAAAGAAAGTCAAAAGTCATGTTCCAGCTGCTAATTATGTAGTCTGCATGAAGATAGCTAAGTAAAAACAGCTATCAATTCATCAAAAAAGGGCATATAAAACTTAAGTTTTTCTCTGACTCTCTCCCCTGCCGCCAGAGCCCCAAAAGCTGTATAATAAACTTTCAAATAAGCCTTAAAGCATATGAAAGTTGACAGTCACATTTATAACACACCCAAAATACACACCAAAATGCCATACTTTCTTAAAAGAGCTAAGTGGCCCTACTTCACAAAACAGTCAATTACAGTGCTTTCAGTTTGTATTTTGTTAAAATATTTTCCATAGGCAAGTTTTGTTTGTTTAACTGAAATTTAGGGTAAATTCAACTAAATTCCTAATGATAAAAGTGTTAGATTTTTTCAATTTTTTGATATTATAATTTTTTCAAACTTAGTTTTTGTTTAAAAGGTCAATACCTAAGTAATTCTGAAATATTTTTCCAAACAAGATTTCAATGTCTTCCCCCAAAGAGCTGTCTAAAGATCACTCCCCCCCCTGCCAGCTTCCTGTTGTTCAGATGCCTGGGAGTGTTTGAGAGGAACCAATGAACCAAATATCAAGCTCTTCATTCTGAAGTTTCACACAGAACATGAATTTTGAATTCCATCCAGCTAGGATGTAATATTTCAGCACAAGAAATATTCAATTCTCCAGTCAAAGCAAGTTTTCAGCAACTCAGGTCAACAAGTTGTACTAGAATATGCATCAAAAAGATTCTGAAAATCAATAGGTCTGCGTAGGTCATGACAAACGTGAAATTTTGATCACTTCTGCAAACAACTATTTCAGCATGAAAATGAAACGGCATAAAGTCACCATATTCGTTTTGTTTAATTGTATAAAAAATACAAAAAAACGTAAAACAACAGAAAAAATCCACATACCTCACAAATGTTTTGTATGTTATTCTGACATCATGTCCTTCCTTTAGGCTACACTAGGATATGCAGATAGTCATAGCTGGTGTAATCTGAAAAGACATCATCAACAAATTGGTTAGGAATGTGTTATTGCTTCAGGGAATTAACTTTAAGCACAAATAGTGTACTATGATAGGACTACTTTGAAATATACTGCATGGACGTACAGCAAGCAAGATTTTGACTGGGGAAGAAACATTTTACATTAATCAAGCTATCATAAAGAACAATCTACAAAACTTTAAATAGTAGGATGTCAAATAATCCTGTATCTCAGTCTTGTTCATTTTTTTTAGCACAATTTAGATATGAATATTTTAGCATTACAAACTAAAAGTATCCAAAAAAAAAAAAAATCTTACTCCACTGCCTTCAGAGCTTAGAGCGAGGTGTTTGGTAAGATCTTATTAGGTACAAACATACCTACTACTATTTTTATAATTGTAGAATAGGCTAGAAAAAATTAGAATAGCTTTAAATTTAATTACACTGAGCTCTGGCAAATTTAAAATAACAAAGCTACTCTTTCCAGAATCTGTATATAAAAAAAATTGCCCAAAACTATGCCGATGGAAATGGGCACTTAGAAGGTTCTCCCTTGCTACAATTCCATCACATAGGCAAGTGATAATTACAGCATTACTTATGATATACGAAACTAGTATAATGACTGAAATGCTGGCATAAGCTGCTATAACTATGTTTAATTTTACAATATGAATATTTCATGAGCTTGAGTCTTAAATCATATTCTTCCCTTTTTACAAGGATGTAATACCCAAACCCCACACACAGTGTAAAGTGAGAGATCACGATTTTAAGAGCCTAGGAGGTTATCCTTTTTATTATAAAAGGAGAGGAAGGGGGAATACATTTGATTTAGAAAGTCAAGTAATTCAAAGCCTGAAAATTTCAACAGTCGAATTTCAGAAGTCACCGCACAGCATTTGGAGCAGGAATTTTTTTTTTGGAGCTGCAGAGCAGAAGAGGTGTGGGCCTGAAGTCCCGACTCAAAAAGCAGGTGAGCACCCGCGTGCCCTACAGAAAGTACACTGCAGCTGCCAGCACTGATTCCTGGCAAACTAGTCTGGGGACCCCTGTTCTGTGCAACAAGATCCGAATGCCACTGCTGTGCTCTCTCAGTCCTGCTGGTGCCTGCTATAACAAGTGTCTTGCAAATTAAATCCCCAGTAGGTGACCAATGAGGATTTTCTTGCTTTGCTTTACACAGTCCAGGACAAGATGATTAGCTTGTAGAAGGAACTTTATATTTGTGTCTGAACAAAGGCTAGAAAAGTATCTAGGTTTATTTTCCCAGTTATTTTATATTACTTAAGCAAGCTTCCTGACATGCTGACTTCATTCTTTTATTTGGAACATTAGTTTAAATTCATATATTTTGATAGTAATAGGAAGATTCTGCTATTTAACAGTTACAGCAAATACTAAGTCACTTCTTTTTAACTGAAAGCTTCTGAAACTAGTCGTTACAAAAGTTATTTAAGAAGCAATATTATTTCATGGGGTTCTTCGCTATATGTTTTCAAATTTTCAAAGTTCAACCTTTTCATTATACCAAAACAGATTTCCCCTGAAAATGAGAAGGCTCCTACCTTATTTAAACAAATTTGTGTATTCTACTGCAAGCCTAAAAGATAATGCAAATGCTTATTATGTACACGTATCGGAGTGAAATTACTGACTGCTTTTTGTTTTGCTTTATAAAGAACCTTTTATACTTTTGTTAAACAAGTTTTCACAATATTGTGAAATCTACAATCATTAAGCTGTCATTGACATGGCTTTCTGTGGAAGCTAGGCAGCAACTCACAAAAAGAAGACAGGCTGAATATATCGCATTAATTTGCAGTGCTACCCACCCATTCTCTGAGTCAATGATGACAAGAAACAGAAGACGACATACTAACCCTCCGCAGCTGAAATATTAAAGTCAGAGTAATCATTTAAAATGATTAAGGCAGAGCTCATTCACAAAATGGTCAGGCTCATGATTTGTTCAGTTAATTCTCTAATCCTCAGTGCAATTCCGTTCAATATTTCAGTGTTTCTCGTAGCATTAACAGTTATTGGTTTACATGGAGGAGCAACAGCAGTTCAGCTATTGTGATAATAATAGACTTTGTCACTTGAACACGACTCCTTTCCCCTCTTCCATTTCCCCACTCATGTATTTTGGTCTCCTTTCCAGTACCCCCCCACTCTGATCCCTTCAAGGGGAAGGCAATCAACACTTGAAAAGCACTGACACTTTATGGAGAGCTAAGCATCCCCATCCAGATGCTTACGGCTTTCCTCAGGACTACTGATGTATTTGCTGCAATGCCTGTCCTAACCAAACTTACACTGCACTTTCCTTGTACACTTGAAGTACAGATCTTCAGGACAAAGAATGATACTTTAATCCCTACTACTCTAAGCAACAGTTTTTTTAAAATCAGCCTTTTAAAAATCTGTATCTTATGCTGAATATTTCAGTGTTATATTCTGACACAAGATGCAGATTCTGACACATTCCATGCAAAATGTTACCTGTTCGTACAGATGATTATCTTAAACCTAATTCTGACACACTTCCACTCTTAGGTGTTATTTGAAATTCTTGGGCTGAATATGCCTTATTTTACTTGTATCTTATTGTTAATGAAATGCAGGCCCAAATCGCAAAAAAATTATTGGAGTAACAATGATATTCACAAATGATAATCAGGCTGCTTAGAAAACATATGATAATGTAAAAACAGTAATCGAATAAGTTATTATAAACTCACGATCACTGGAAAGATCATCTTCTAAAATGCCTGTTCCTAATACGTTTAGATTTTTCCATCGGGGCTAGAGAAGATTCACTGCATCAGCAGTTCTCCCTGCTCGGATCTTCATAAGGTCTCTGTATCGTCCATAACAGTAAGGAAACCTCCCCCTTCTAAAAAAAAAAACTGTGCTTTGGGGGTTAAGTACAGTCCTCTTTCCTGCTATTTTTTGAGGAAGAAAGGAAAAACACTGTTTAAAAAAAAAAATCCACTCCTACTGTTTTATTGACATACAGATAAGAATCAATATTCAGATAAGAATGGATATACAGACTAAAAATCCATTAGCTGTCAAAGCCTATGTCTCTTTTGGTTGCTTACTTTCTTAAACTGTGGAAGGGATAGTTTTGAAGATTGCTTTTTCAGTTTCACTGCAGTAAACAAAAAGCCTTTATTTCAACTTTTCTGATTGAGTACTGATAGGTCAATAGTTGTAGGGACACCAACAGATACTGCTTACATATGATGGATTTAAATCCTACCTAGAAAGTACAGGATCAGTAGCAAAACAAGATCACAGAACTGTAGTCTCACCGAAAGGTTAGAGTGTAAACAATTTCAGTAACAGCAATTTTTTTTTTTTTTTTTAAAAACTGAATGGATAAACCTAGTACTGCATACGACTCCACGGACAATGCAGACCATTCATTGCTGACGGATAACAATCCATCAGTTAAGGTCCAGACATAATCACGTCTAATTTAGATAACTAACTTTTCATTACAGATACATGCAATTCAAACTGTAAAGCCATTTAGTAAGTAAACTGTGGCTGCTTTCAACTTCTGCTCAGTGACTGACTGGTTTAGCAAACAGCCAAACTGCAAACATCAAACAAACTACTCCAATAACTACATCAACCAATATCTGTACTGAAAATCATTTAGCTCGGCTCTAGCAACAGCCTGGCTGTGGACAAGGAAAGGCGCAAGGGCTGCAAGGTTGAACTTTCTCAGCAACCACAGCCTGTGCAAAAACTGCTCAAGCTGCAAGTATTCAGAAGAGCAACTCCATCAGTTACACTCCCAGATCAGCCCTGACACACTCAACTTTTGCTATCTGTAACTACAAAGATATACCTCCAATTTCTACAACCTCAGACATAAGCAATACAGTGCACCAGTGTACGCACCTCCTAAAAAGAGCAGGTTAAATAGCTTACGCTGACAACATGAGACACCATCCCAAAGTGTCATTAGCAACTTATTCTCAAATCTATCCCATGTCATCAGTAACATGTCCTCATTAGTGATATTTTACAGTGTAAGCACACAGATAATGTGATGCTGTTTACACGTTAACATCTACCTATGAATTCAAAAGACAATTTTCAGTGAGCAAGTATTTAACGTGGCCAAGTTAAAAGCTATTTTAAAGATTCTCCTTATGCTCGTCTCTTATTAGACCTTTCCAACAGCAAGCACCACACCACAGGAAAACACTGAAAGTGTTTCTTTCAGCTATGAAAAGGGGATATGCTTCTTCTCTACAATCTCAAAAAAAAAAAAAAAGACAAAGAAAAAGAAGAAGTACTTAAGTATGGATGTTTTACTGGGAAGTTGGTCATCTAATTACTCATGTCTTTATGTTGGCAACATCTTATAAATATCCCAAATCACAATACTGAGAATCCTGTGTGAAACAAATAAGTTATGTCAAATGAAAGAAAAATTACGCATCTCTTCAGAACATGCATTTATAAAATGCATTAATGAGCTTTGCTCATCAGCAATAAACTCAATAGGTTTGCAATACCACGCTAGGTTTCAGAAAGTACCAAAATTCCAAATAGCATCTAAGATATTCAGCAAAGCATCTTTTTGATAAGAATTTTTCCCCTTCATGGATCTTGAGGTCAAGGAGGATATATTTCATGGGACTTCAGTGCCCACTAATGATATACACAATCCACTATCCAATATGTGATGGGTTCACTGGGCTACAACAAGGACAGGACACTTCTGGATTAAAGAGCACCCTTCAACTGAGAGGAGGTCACATGCACAATCTATGTGATTAGTGGCTGGCTTTTATATCTTAGCCATTTTCAAACAGAGCCACAAACATATTCAGATTAGACTTCAGAAAACTAGGAAAGTAAATACACGTCAGTGTTGTTAAGTGAAAAATGGAAGTTTTCCTCCTTTGCCAACAGCAGTTGGATGCCTAAAGTTCTACTTCAAAGTATAATTTTTTATTCTAATATATATATTTATCAA